ATGAAATCCACAAAATCTGTAAACGCCGAACTGCGTGGACAACAATTGGGAAGTGGAATCTGAGAACTGTCCTCATACAAAGCCTTCTATACGCGGATGACATAGTCCTAATAGCCGACACAAAGACCAAACTACAACAAGCTTTGGTAGAGTGGGAGGAAGAGTTGCTCAGGAAAGGGATGCAAATTAACACCTCCAAGAGTAAAGTGCTGGTTATGACGAGGGAAGAGCGAGAAGATGTTCAGCTGATCTGCAATGGCGAGACACTTGAGGTGGTGACTGAATATACCTACCTGGGGACCGTAATTAGTAGTTATGGTAAGATAGACGCCGAAATATCAAGTAGAATATGTAAGGCGAATCAGGTATATTACCAGACTACTAATAGCATTATCGGCCATCGCGAAGTAGACAAGAAGACCAAAATGCACGTATATAAGTCTGTTTACCTACCTACACTCACCTACGGCGGAGAAAGCTGGACAATGCTAGACAGGCACTCTAGTCGCATAACGGCAGCAGAAATGAGGTTCCTTCGCAGATCTGTTGGCAGAACTAGAAGGGATCGCATTAGGAATGAAAGCATTAGAGAGCAGCTAGGAGTTGCCGAACTTAAAACTACTTTAGAAAGACGGCAACTCCAGTGGTTTGGACACGTCTGCCGCATGAATGAGAATTTGAATCCTATAAGGATATTAGAGGCTCGACCCACAGGAAGGAGACCACGCGGACGCCCCAGACTCACGTTCCAGGATTACATTCAAAGGATTGGATGTAAAAGAGGCAAAACCCTTAATGAGATGAAGCGACTAAGCAGGGACCGGGAAGAGTGGCTGCACTGGTTGAGGCTCCTCGACGCTAATTAATGGCATAAGAGGAAGACAAAGAAGAAGAAGAAGAATAATTATCATGGCAAAATGAAATTACAATATATAAAGGGAATGAATGAATATTTTTATTTGTTTTCGGGCAATGAGCTATACTGATAGAGTTGGCTATAATGATAACAATGAATATAGTGATATGAAAAACATTTACAACTTATAAGGAAAGTAAAATAAAGTGAATGATAATTCGATAAGATTTTCAGATATGAAAATTAATGCAGAAAATGGAAGACTACTTACTACTGAAGTGGTAAAAAAAGAACAGAAAAAGTAATATCATATTAAATTATCAATCATCACATGAAAAACAATTTTGAAAAATAATTCTATGAATTTTTTTTTGGACAATTTTTATCCAAAATAAGTTAGAGAAGAAAATATGGAAGAAGAGTATTAATTTTAACAAAAAATAAAAAAATGAGGTTCAAGTCAGAAAAAACATCTGACACCAAGCTGTAAATGATAAGAAATGTACCTATATTATTCATTTATCACATAGTTTAAATAGAATATATATTAAACTACAATGTGCCTGAATATAAATGTTGAAAAATAATCCACAAGAGTTCAACAGTAGGACCAAAACAATAAACATTTTTGCATTTGTTCATTTTTGTATCACTTCAGAAAGCTGAATTTTCTAGAAGAGTCTGATAATACAGTTCAATAGATAATACATGTGCTGTATTCTTCAAATCGAGAATAGCCCAAAAAAACATGTTTATTAACTTAATTGAACTGGGTCATTCCATGAAAAATCATCCAGGGATCGTAACCCATCATCTCAGATCTTAATGAAAATTATTAAATATTAAGTAAATATACATGTAAGTAAAAATAAAAAATTATACCCAGTTATAACGATCAGTTTCAGAACTATGGTCATTTAAACTTTTAAAATATTTTAAGTTGGGAAGACATTTAGAGCTAAAAACATACATGTACCAAATTAATTTTTTATAATTTTTATTTTTATTTGATATAGAATTTCATGCTGGTTTCATTAACATATAGTTGTATTGGGGTATTCGGAGAGATATTTTAGCCACAATGATATCAATAACCACACCATTTACCCATCAAACCTACCATTTACCATACCAAAACTTATTTGATTTACATTATAATAAATTTATTATGAATCAAAGTTTCATAAATATTATTAAATAATCTGATAGAAAATTTTATGCATATTTTAGTGGTATATGGTTATATTAGGATATTTGGAGAGAAATTTAAGAAATTTTGACTTGTATTTGTAGCTGATAAATTCAAATTTACTGTTATGTGTTTAAAATGTAATAAAACACTTCAAACTTAAGATTTCACTAATATTATTATTGCATTTCGTAGAGAATTACAATTCTCTATGCTGTTTTATTATTACGTACATGCCGTAAATAATAATACATGCTGTTTTTATTAATACGTGGTTGTATTCGGATAGACGGGGGAGGGGAGGGGCTTTGGTTCTAAAGCTCTCCCCCCACTTGATTGTAAAATATAACCATGTTTTCTGGAAAAAATATTGAAAAGTTATATCTTAAAGTATTATTGTTCGTGTAATTACATTTAAAAGGACTTTAGGAATCACTTCAACACCATTGCATATAGGTAGTTAGTTTCTTTCTTTTTTTCCAAAGTAATTATCGTTATTTTTATAAAAACAAAAGCTATCGGGCTGAAGCCACCTCTCTCTCTAAAAATTAAATTCTGGATTCGCTAGTTGCTACAGGTAGTTTTTTTAAATATTTTTATCATAACTTTGAAAATGTATGTTTAAAAAGTTTTTTTATACATGAAGTTATAATTCTAAAATTTAGGATTTCGACATCATCCTAGTATTATATTTATGACAAATGAATACATTTTTAAAGCTATTGGTATATAAATACTTGTTTTAACAAGGAAAATATAATGGGTACATGCTGGTTTTTAAATCAAAATGTCTTCCCAACTTAAAATATTTTAAAAGATTAAAATAAAATAAAGATAATAATTCTGAAACAGATCGTTAGAATTGGGTATAATTTGTTATTTTCACTTAGTGTATATTCACTTAATATTTACAAATTAGAGTGCTACCAGTGGGTAGTTTCTCAACAAGCGTGTTTCATGTAATAATATTTCTCTGTACAAATTTACTTGATGTATTCATACTAATACAGTTGTAAATATCATAATAAAAGTTAAAAAAAAAAAAAAAAAATTTACAAATTTTTATTAGGATCTGAGAGGGGTGTGTTACAAATTGAACATTTTTTGTGATTTGGTATGGAATGACCCACCAATAAAACTTTATTTAAAGCATTTCATTAATGGTTGAAAATATTTAATAAAAACATTTTTTTACGTAGTGAATCTCAGTTCGAGGAAAACATCATATTTATTGAACGGTTTATTTCTAACTCTTCAAGGAAATTCTGCTGCGCAGTAACTGCTATGGATAAGGAAAATTACAGTAATAATACTTTCTCGTTCTATAAAATATGCTTTGGGATTTGTATTTTTCAGATAGTTTAAACATTTATTACCTGTAATAAACAGGTTACATTCTGTACCAAAAAGAACACCATATCCATTTTTGTATTTGTTCATGGAAGCCAATGTTTAATATCTTTGATTTATTATAATTTATTACTTAGATACCAAATCTGTATTCTGTAAATAAAGTACACCCTATCGTATTTTTATGTTTGTTTAGGTAGCCAATTATCCATAACTTTCAGCTGTTAAATTGTTCTTTGTTACTAAATTATTTAATTAAAAAATGAATACGGTGTCCTTTACCTCCGAGGCGCAGATAAAACGAGAAATAATAAAATAATATATAATATAAAGAATATAAAGAAATAATAAATAATAAATAGAAAATAATACAATTGTCATACTTTATTTATTTTTAAATACATAATAGTTTCTTTTTTAAATAAATATTTTTTTGATAAAATATAAAGTAATTACAGTGTAAAATGAAAAAATAAATATATATATATATATTATATATATATATATATACTTATAAAATGTCTAAATGAATACTATTGTCATTAGTCTATTGTTAATTATTAATAAATTTATTTTTGGAAAACCTACAAAGTAAAACATTTTGTACCTGTTTTTAGAAAGAAAAAAGATAGTTTTAAAACAAAAATTTAAAAGATTCATGAATGACAAAAGGAAATTTTTTTTTGCTTGTTTATAGTGACAAATAAAAATTTTACATATAATTTACATTAATTACATATAACAGGTGGTATAAAAAAAGTGGTATAGAAATGTTTTAAAATGGCTAGAAAGGCAAAAATAAATACATATCGATGTAGCTTAATATCAATTTTTATGTGTTGTATGTTTTGTGATATGAATGTGTCTAAACAAATTGTTGTTAATTACTATCAACTTACTAATGATCAGTTAGCATTGTTACATTCCAATTTTTTATATAATATACTTATGTAATGAAAAATGAGTAACCAATTTAATGCTGAAAAATCAAAAAACAATAACAAATTTATATAATCGGATTTAGGATAATATTTTATATGAGAATAATAATTAAAACAGAAAATGAAATTTTCTGTCCAGCGTTTCTGATATTTTATTAATATTCCATCGTGTCTATTGGTAGTATGAATGAACATTTTGTATGAATTTTGTGTCAAATTTAAAGCTTTACTGGCTTGGATAATATTCGTTTGGGCATTTAACTGCGGTGTAGAAGTTCTGTAGACGAAACCACAGGCAGGCACTTAATTTAAAACCTTTTATTTGATTTTTAAAAGTTTTTTTTGGAAGCTCATTTCTTGTTCCAAACATTTTCCAACATATTGCATACCCAACATATACCTTAATGTTTAATGTTCTTCCCAACAAGAAATTTTAATGTTCTTAAACATTAGTAAGTGCACCTTCTTGCTCTTATTAATTGAATTATTAGTTCATAATTCTATATTATTAATCCATGACAGTAATTTCAATTAAAAACATAAATTCACTGATATTTTAAAGAGCAATTTGCTACAACTATAAAAATTAATAGAAGTACAAGACACAATAAAAAGAAACATTACATTTAGATACTACTATAAGAAGGTAATCAATACTACTCACCGAGTGACTGACGGAGACATGGTCCGTGGTGTGTATGACAGTTTCGGTAGAAACGGCAGTGGCCTCGGTCTGAGTGTGGCTCGTGGAGGAGATGCGGTATTGCATGCCGGCGATGCTGCAGTAACCCTCGTGCCGCGTCGAACGCGTCGTGTACAACCCCGTGATCGTCACGTCGGTATCCTGGTTCACGATGACGGCTACTTTCTTACTACTACCGCTTACGACTGTAACTTCGTCGTCACTACTATCCGCGACCGCGCTGCTCGTCGAGTCGTCCGAGGACATGCTATATCCCCCATCGTCGTTAGATTTCGATCTCTTCTCGACCGAGTAAGATGCCGCCATCATTGCCGAAGCGTTAAGGCTGGCCATCCTCTTCCTAACGACCATATCTTTCAAGTCCATCATCAATTCGCAGCGTTTTCGCCTCTTTCTAGTCTTCTTCTCCACAGGTTTCTCTTCCTCTTTAGGTTCCTCCTCTTCTTCCTGCTTCTCAGAAACTGTGTCCTCTGCCTCACTGGACGATGTGGAGGAAGCGTTGAGGATGTCCCAATGGCGACCTACACCTCTCATTCCCGGAGCAGATCTCAAATTTCTAGAAGGTTTTTCTTCTTCGACTTCCACATTCGGTTCATCATCTTCTTCAGCAGTATCTTCCACTTCCACTTTCTCCACTTTGATATCTTGCTTCTTCTTAAGTATAGTCTTGTCTAACATTTCATTCATTGCGCCCCTACTTTCGTTCTCATACAGGCAATGAACTTTCGCTAATGCATTCAAGGAAGCCTCGCGATGCCGTTTCTCAATGATAGGACAATCTTTGTTTCCAAGAAAGGAAATGGCACTCTTTCTAGGTGTCGTCTTCTTTTTAACTAGCTTCCGCTGCTTCGGCTTAGGAAGCGGCTTTTTAGATTTCGAAGGCTTAGCCACTGGTTCCGGAGGTTCTGTTTCTTCAACGGAGACGTCTTCATCCTTAATAGTGACCGGGCTCACTTTTTCAAATTTGACTCTAGTTTTAGTATTCTTTTTGTCACTTGCTGAATCTTCCTTCGGTTGTACGGAAGCCTGTGATTTTTGAGCTTCCTTCTTTTCTTTCGGCTTACTCTTCTGCTTCCCAACTTTCTTCTTTTCTTTTTCTTCTGTTACATCTTTTTCCTTTTTAATAGTTTTGTCTGACTTTGCTGCTTCTTTAGCCTCTTCTTTTTTATCTTCCTTATTCTTTTCTTCTTTTGATTTCACTTCTTTTTTATTTTCTTCTTTGATCTCCGTAACAACTTTCACAGTTTCTTTAGATTTCTTTTCTTGTTTCATTTCTTTCTTATTTTCTTTCGTTTTTTTCTCGGAATCTTTCTTACACGGTTCTTCTTTTTCTTTCTTAACTTGGTCCACATTTTTAATTTTTTCCTCTTTTTCCTTTTTGTTTTCTGTCTTCTTTTTCTGGTCTTTTTTGGGTTTTTCTTTAGTTTTTATTTCAGTTTTTATTTCTTTTTTAGGGACAACTTTCTTAACAGCTACTTCTACTATCGTATTTACGAGATCTTCCAGTTTCTCATCCGATTTGGAAGATATTTTTTTGAGCACTTCTTTTTTAATTTTGTCCTTGTGTTTTCCTTTCCTCTTCCCTACTTTTCCTGAGGTCACGCCCATTTTAGCCGGTTCGGTCTTTCTGCGTGGATTTTTTACGCTGATCACGACCTCCACCGGCTCGCTTTTAATTTCGTCGTGGGCGTGATCAAGCTGTTCTTTCTTCACGACTTTCTTAGCGGCCGGTTTCGGTTTGGTCGTATTTGTTTTTGCGTTGGTAATGTTTGGCGTGCATGTAGCCTTCTTAGTTTCATTTTTCTTAGGAGGTGCCTTAGGCTTGGGTTTGGCTGCGGACCTCTTGGGTCGCAAGCCGGGGGCAACCTTCTTCCCTGCGGCGCCGGAGCGGGTGTGCCGGGCGGGCTCCTTCGGCTTGGCCGAGCTAGCCCGCATTGCTATCGCCCGGCCCCGTAGCTACATAATAGTTGTTATGTCATCTTCGCGAGGGAGGCTCTGCAACAGACAAAACAAAACAAGATGGTTAGGTTTGAAATATAAATCCATCAGTAAGGTATGCAATTTGGTTAAATTAAATATATGTTTATCTATAACTTTATATTATACCTACATGTACAGATAAAAAATGTATTCAGCAAACTAAACTAAAACATCATATACAAATTCTGAAACATTAGAAAGTGCACGTTTTGAAAAACCGCAGATAGATACATGAGACCCCATCGCAGGCTAATTATAAGTGATCAAATGATCCAGAGAATTCAGAGTACCTGACAAACTTTTTTAATTTATCATTTATAAAGTACTGATAAACCCATTATGGATCTCTGAGGATCAGTCAAATCTTTAAAATCCAAATACTTCAGAAGTTTCGGTCAAAAGCATTATGAATCTAACACAAGTCTATATATCTAACGAATTACTACGCCGTCTACGATTTTACCGTTCTACGAGATAACTCTTTGGCAGCGAACATGTTAAACCGAGTTCAACACGGCCGGGACAGCTAAAAGACGTGAACTACAAACGTTTTACAAAACTTTTAAAACTACATAAGACAATTGTTATTTACCTAATATATAAGTTTAATAAAAATTCTACACTAAAGCAATCAGAATTATTATTTGAAAAACATAAACCCTAATGATGTTTACGACAGTTTCTGATATCCTTCAAAGACTCCAATTTTTAAGAGGAAGAAAATTTTCTCAATTAAAGAAAAGCGTTCTAATGACTTAAAAGAACAAGAGAGAAATGAACTTTGACCGAGACCTTTTCGAGGTTACAAGGAAGTTTTAAAAGAAGCGACGATAAAAGATTAAAAGTGAAAAGATGAAGTATAAACCCATAAAAGAAAAGGAATTTGCAAATTAAAAGCGTTTTTGAAGGTAATTAATTAGACTAAAGATGAATTCAATTTTTATGTATATTTAATAAATACTGACTGTGCAGGGCAGAAATACACCCTTGTTTTTTCCGAGAGAGAGTTAGTTATATTGTTTTTCACTATAAGATATATTCATTAGTTTGAATTTCCAAACCTACCAAACAGTGATAGTTACAGCGATATGGTAAAATTATTTTTATAAAAATAAAAAAAAATTAATCACTGAGTTACTTTTAAAATAAAATAAAAACTAACGAAGAAACCATACCTCTAAAGACCAAACGTTATATTAATGGATATAAGAGATCATTATACAAAAAAAATTGTAAGTACATTGATACAAATAAAATGAACAGTTTATATTTGAATTTTACTCAATATTAAATATGATAGGAGCATTAATTAGAATAGTAACAAAAACACACAAAGAAAAAAATAGTTTATTTTAAGTTACACTAACTAAATTAACCAAGTTTCGCATGTGTATACAGCATACCTGAGCATAACGATATAACATAAAGATCTGCTCTGCTTAAATCAAAGTTAAAGTTATTGAAGGTGAAGTAAAACATGCTAGGGATGTAAAAGCAACTTTTTGCTAAAATCGATTTGGCATAAGACCCACTTTATATTTTCGATTTTGTACAATTTACTTGAAATGATTTTAACTAATTAATATCATAATATAGGTGTTATCTTTAATCAAATATTCTCAAATGGTTTATTTTCGTTGATTTTTTTTGTTCCTTCCTAAAATATCTTCTGTTTTGATTATCAAGAATAATTAATGGTGTTTTTTCATTACTAGTAGTAATGCAAACTGAATAAGTATGAACTATGAATTTGATAAGAGCCTATAGAAGAATATTTGAGATATATTTTAGCATAGATATTTATAATCGAAAATAAATTTCAAGAAATATGATCAGTAATGTAAATCAATAATAAATCGTTGGAGAGTTAAATATTTAAGATAAAATACCTAAGAGTTACGCTACTGTTTTGGACGAGGGGTTGTTTTGGATCATATTTTCTGCACTTTAGTATAAAAGTCCGATTTTTAGTTTCTAAGATATTTTAATCCAAATTCAAAAGAATTTTAATTAGTCGACTCACGCTGACTTTACCCGAATGAGCGTTACATATCCAAACATGGCGCCTCAGTCTCATTCACTACCCACAAAAAAAAAAAAGAGCAAAACGCGCCTAAAAAGTAATATGGAATGTGCAGATTGAAATTTCATTTTATACGATGTGACAAAAGGTAAGTTTTTAAAAGGGTCATGTTAAAATACCGAGATTCGTGGTGAGAAAAAAAAAGGAAAGAAAAAGGGAAAAGAAAGATCGTAATATGGATTGTGCAGCAAAGTAACAAATTACATACATTTTTCAGATGGCAATCTCAAAAGTGGCTCCAGTAGGCTTAATAATTTATTAACTGACCGTGAATCCACCACGCTTATCTCATTCTGCTATTTCGTAAAGGATTAATTTCTTCCCTACCATAATTGTTCTGTACGATTATTATAACTTAAGAATAAAATAAAATTATTCAAGAAAATAACTAAAGCATTAAGGTGAATTATAAATGTCATGATCCTCTTATGTCTAACTGTAAGTTATATCTGGCAGATCAGCTGTGTTATTTGATGTATAAATAGTATTAACAGATGAAGAAAACTATGCATCAATTTAACGTAGAAAATGTAAGAAGCTAGAAATCAATCTTTATAAATCTATGGAAACTATACATCTAAAAATTTGTTTTCTCCATTTCTAACACATCTTTACCTCCCTCCCATACTATCTCTTAGCGTTGCTTAAAAACGGTCTTGTTCTAGCAGTCTTGGTTTTATTCCTGAGTTTACGTAAACCATGAAAAAATTCCGCCTGATTGTAGCAAGACCAAGACAAAAACTGATTCCACAAGGTTAGGCAAGAACCAGACTGACCTGGGAGAATCTTGTGTCTCGCAGTAGTCAAACCGAGAATTGGACGTTATTCAGTATTTGGTTTAAACATTGATATTAATAGACGTTTTTTATTATCGGTATCAAAACCATGATTCCTTCTATCTAACAACGAAGTTGGTTGTAATATCATTAAAAGTTATTGCATTGATTATTATATTTTGAGGTATAGTACGGTACGTTAATATTTTTAACTTATTAAATCTAAACAGAGATATTTTTTTTTGTAGAATCGTTAGCTTTAGCTTAGCTTTCCAAATAACAACAAACAATTAAACATTTGCCATGATAAAAAAAACGGAAACTAACGCGTTTTTGAGAATAAAAATTAAGATAAAATATTTAACACAACTATGTTAGTTAATGTATTCAAGTAAATTTTATTGGACTTTACTTAATTTGGATTTTATTTACTTGGGATCTATGTAAAGCTTAAAACACATCTATTCAGTTGCGATGTTGTAAGATCTAAACTGGTGTAATTAATAAATGGGTTAATAGATAATTGCAAGATTTACGAGAGTCTTCCTGTAAGACCGAGAACTAAGACTGAGTGCGAAAAACGAAGACCAAGAACAAGACCACATAAGTCTCGTCTTCATACGATTCATCTTCGGATTCCACAAGAACTCTCATGTTTCTTATTGGCTTACCGCGTTGAAGTGGCTACATCCTATTTTCCGATGGCAACACATTCTTTGTAATTTTCTTTTTAAAGTCCTTACAACCAAAATCCTCCGGCATCCTTGATCTTCTTCCTCTATTCACTCTTTGAATACAAGATCTCAACCAATTGATTCAAGGGAGTATTCTTACAGAACTGCTTCCTTTTGTGCTATTTCATTTTGTAATTATTCATCCACATCCGTCAATCCGATTTCCGACCTTGTACTTCAAACGAGACTTATTCTTCTTTCATAATCAAACCAACCTATCGACCTAAATAATATGCATTTCCGTACCCAATAATAATTTTGATAGATCATCAAAAGTGCACTTTTATAAATATTAAACCAGAAAAATAGCAAAAACTAGAAAAGATTTCATACTTTAAAAGGTTTTATTCCTTTTTTAATTTATTATACCTATCATCCAAATCCTCTTGCACAATCCTTATCAAGCACCACCGATCTCTATAATCCTCCAAAAAGGTTAAACGGCAGTGGCCTCGCGACCTTTTGTAGATTGTATAAATTTTAGTTCTAGCAATGGCCAGATTCTTCACTCAAGACATGTGTGTATGTGGCTAAAGTGCTCTCGACCAATCTCCGCTGGCTTTAGTACCAGTGACGCGATTGGGAGAGTAGCGCAGGGTTCTCCTGGAGTTCCCTCGCCTGATTGTATATAGGTATGCATGTGTTTTTTTTTTGTTTTTTTTCTTAGTTTTAATTTTCTTATGTTTTAGGTTATTTTATTTTATTGTCTATTGTATATACTTTTGATTATTATTTTGTTCTATTTATTTTATTTTTTTGTACATTTGGTGTGAATGTCATCCTACCTCACTATAGCCAATGTCTAACAGACAGATTGTTATAATACTCAATAAAAAAAAAAAAAAAAAATTATTAAAATTTAAAAATTGCATATCCATCAAATATATAATTGAAGGCTTTTAGGAAAAGGTTTGAACGACGTATTATTAAAATTAATATTAAGATTTTTTTTAGGTTACTAATCACAATATTTCCTATCCGAAATTTCAGGTTATTCGGAATGGCTCTAACGAATTGAGGCTTTCATTTGACAGAAAGGCTAACTCAAATTTCAATATTTTTTAATATTAATTTTAGTGATATTTCTAGAGAGAAAATATTTAGGTTTCAACGCTGCAATCACTTACTCTGGAATCAATTTCCTCACTCTCTTTACAGATATTATAATTTTTCCAAATAGAAATATCACTAAAATGACATTACTCAAAAATGTTGAAATGGGAGTTAGTCATTCTGTCAACTGAAAGGCTCAATTATACCAGAATGTTTCTGGCATAAACACGGGTTCTACTGTATAACTAAAAATACGTTTCGTTTAAATATAAAAAAACCGGTATCACTAACAACCTATGAAGGGTCTTGAGTTCAGTACAATGTGAGGAATTACTGTTAGAAGGCCAACGCTCTACCGCCAGGTTTTCTCCCTTAACCAATTCTTTTTAATTATGGAGGCTGGGTTTGCCCCAGGAGGGTCTCTCTTGGTCCCAGGGTCGACCCACTACTGATGGAAAATTACTAGTCATCAGCTGGACTCGAACCTGGGACCTTAAGCTCTGGAAGTCAGTGCTCACCCACTGAGCTACCCCGCTCCCTGTTAAAATATACAACTATCTAAAATATGATTTCTTGAAATATTCAAAATTCTCTTTGAAAAAAAAAAATGTAATAATCAAATTTTACTTTGAATACAATTAAGTCATACTTTAATCATACTTAAATTTTTTTTTTTTATGTAGCAGAAAGTTAGTAATGA